AGAACTAATGGATCTGGGCTGGCACAGGGTGGGCGTCAGGCCTGGAGGGTGTCTCCCACCTGAGCTGCTCCAGCCTCTTCAGTTAAAAGGCTCTCAAAGCCACTTTATTTCACTTGCTCGAACAAAAAGGATGGGCCAAGTCAAATTAAGGAACAGGAAAGGAATCAGTGGCCTCCTTGCAGGCAGCGTGAGGGCTTTCTGCAGACGCTGTTTTTAGACCCTGTGGGTCTCAGCCCCAAGTGTCTCCTGGCACTGAGTGAGGGCCAAGAGCTGCTGAATTATAGAATCATATCATAGAATCAGCTGGGTTGGAAGGGACCTCCGAGATCATCAAGTCCAACCCTTGATCTACTACTGCTGCAGTTACTTGACCATGGCACTGATGCCACATCCAGTCTCCTTTAAAAAATCTCCAGGGATGGAGAATCCACCACTTCCCTGGGCAGCCCATTCCAATGGCTGAGCACCCTCTCTGGAAAGAAATTCTTTCTAATATCTAACCTAAACCTCCCCTGGCACAACTTGAGACCCAGCCCTCTTGTCTTGCTGAGAGTTGCCTGGGAAAAGAGACCAACCCCCCCCGGCTCCCCCCTCCTGTCAGGGAGTTGCAGAGAGTGAGGAGGTCTCCCCTGAGCCTCCTCTTCTCCAGCTGAGCCCCCCCAGCTCCCTCAGCCTCTCCTCCCAGCACTTGTGCTCCAGTCCCTTTACCAGCCTAATTGCTCTCTTCTGGACCTGCTCCAGCCCCTCCATGTCCTTCCTGAGCTGAGGGCCCAGAACTGGACACAGCACTCCAGGTGAGGCCTCACCAGCACTGAGTCCAGGGGCAGAATCACTTCCCTGGACCTGTTGACCACCCTGTTCCTGAGCCAGGCCAGGATCCATTGGCCTTCTTGGCCACCTGGGCACACTCTGGCTCCTGTTCAGCTTCTTGTCAGTCCAAACTCCCAGGTCCCTCTCTGTCTGGCTGAAGGTCAGATCTGAGCCATAGAATGGGGTGAGATTTTTTCCAACACCCCAGACCCTCTTTTTAGTTTTAATCCTGGCTCAGGCCAGTCCTCGATCTGTGCCAGATTCTGAGCTGTGCCAAAACAAGGGCCACATCATGGGCCAAATTGTGGATCATGCCAGACTGGGAGCCGTGCCAAATTCCATGCCTTCTCCACCTGGCCCCTAATCTTGCCATAAGCCCCTGGCTGCCATCACCATGCAGCCAAACCCCCCCTGTGTCTTTGCTGCCCAGCACAATTCCCTTCCCTGCTGGTGTCCCCTTGGAATGTCCACGCCATGGTGGAAAATTCCCAGAAGAAAAAATACAAGGTTTTGTATTTGCTTTTTCAAAGCATTTGGAGGATCATCGTTATTTTATCACCTCTGCTGAGCCACCAGGGGTGGCAGGAGATGCCCCATCGTGGTGACACTGACCTGGCCCTGCGTGTCCCCGGCTCTGGGCTCGCTGTTCTCAAGGTAACTCGGGCAGGTCCCAGGTGACAAGGGTACGGAACAAGGTGACATTCCCAGGCTATCTGAGCAGGCATTGTCAGAGCCTGATCTGCTTCCCCCGGGTGCCAAGTGAGCTCAGACCCCACATCCCCTCTCCTCGATCCCTCGGGAATGCCACACAGAATCCTCTTCCCCGTCATTCCTGTATTTACTATTTCTTCATTTCCCACCCTCTCTTTTAGGAAGAGACAGACTTCCCCGTTTCCACGGAAACACTCCCCCTCTCCCCTCATTTCTTCAAAGAGGTTTTCATCCATTTATTTCAAAAATAGCTATTTTTAGCCACAGCTTCCCTTTCTTCCCCTCCCCACCCTCCGCTTCCAGGTCACGTTTTCCCAGACGAGCAGCGCCCACTGGGGCTGTCACTGCTGACACTGAAGGGAGCTGTGGCATCACCCACATGCTTTGGTGTGATGCCCCAGTGCCTTGGGCAGGGCAGGAGCAGCTCAGATCCGTGGTGCAGATCCTGGTGGCTCCCTTGATTTGTGCTTAAATCCTCTGGGGTTGTGCAAAAGTTGCTGTATAAAGGAAATGATTGTGTTTGCAGGAAGGACCATTCAAAACTCCCATCACTCTGTGGAGTGACCATCCCTGCAGCGTCCTCTGATTCCATAGATTCCACAATCCCATGAAGCCAAGGCAATATTTCCTTTCCTGCCATCAGGATAAACCAAGAGGTGACACACCAACTACTGACAGAGCAGGAAATAAAAACTGTTTCCACCCTTCCCAAATACAGAAGAGGAGAAACAACCACCTAAATCCTCAGGATCCGGGACCCTGCGGACAAGTGGGATGAGAGGCTGGGACTGCAGCACTGGTCAAAGAAACAAGTAATTGAATAAAAACAAATAGCCTGGACAAGGTGCTGTAAAGTAAAGGAGATTTCCATGGGGGAAATTACAACCTTAGCAGTCCCATGGATAAATGTGGAGCAGAGGGATGGACAGCATCCCTTGAAAAAGGATGCAATGCCTCACTGGTTGGAATACAAAGGAAAATCCCTTTGGGTGCTACCATCCATTCAAAAAATAGGAAGTGAAGTGTCCAGAAAAAGGGCTCCTTAGCAAGGCACAGTTTGAGGAGCAGGGAAATACCTTTAAGAGCCCGACTCCAAGCTGGAAGAGCCCCTCTACAGCATCCTGGAAAAGTCATGGTTGGAAGAGCTGGATGCTCTGGCTTGGAAAGAGGGACATGACACAGGCCATTAAAATCCTGCACAGTGGTGAGGGAGTGAGCAGGGAATGATTAATCAATATTTCTTCATCATGCAAGGAAGAAATAACACCCAGGGAAATTCCCAAGCAGCAAATTCCAAGGCAGCAAGAGAAGGATTTACTGCACAGCTCCGTGGGTGTGCAGGGATGCACTGCTGGAGGGGAGGCTTCCAAAGCCACCCGGTCCTCACGTGGGTAAGGAAGAGACAAATATCAGCCAAAAGGCAGCAGAACCCAGCCCTTGTGCAGCCAAATTCCTCCAGACCCTTATTTTAAGCTGAGTTTATCCATCACAAACCCAGGGAGCACTGGTGCCTGCTCCATGTGTGGCTCTGAGCACCCAACCCTGTGTTACTGCTACGAGGGCATTTTCCACTGTTTATATCCACTGTTTTATCCACTCTGGGGATGAAGCAGGAGACATCCATCCTGGAATCACACTGTGCCACCGCTAGGCTGACCTGCACCCCACCAGCCTCTCTGCTTCTCTCAGCTCTTCCTCGAAATATTGGCAAATCCAATCCAACTCCGGGCAAAAGAGCTGTTGGCACTGATCACGTCCAGTCCCTCTGCAGCTCCTTGGTGCAGAGTCCTCTCCATCTGTTTAGCACTCCAGGTACGGGCTGGAAACTCTGCAAAACCCACAGGGGCTGAGGGTGTGCCTCAAATCAAGGTTCCCCCCTGAATTTGGTACAGGAACATCGCCCTCCACCCCTCAGTGGTGCCAGGGAAGGTGTGTCCTGGGGCCTTTCAAGCAGGCCCGGGTGGAATGTGCCAAATTCACCTTCCTCCAGAGCTGCTTTTGGCTGCTGGTGGTTTCACGCCACCTCAAAGTTTGCAACATCCTGTTTTCCACGGATGTTTAAGCACCCCCCAGTTCACCACATGTCAACTGAAACCTGCAGCTGGAGCCACCCCGGGGAGGAGCTGAGAGAAATCAAGGTCACAGCACAGAAAGCAGCAGCAAGAGCTCCTAAAACCCCTGAACCAGAGAGGGTCACTCCTCCCAGCCTGAAATCTGCCCCTGCCACCCCCACTGGACAGGAGCTACTGTGGTCCCATCCTGCATGGCCACACTGGGATAAATTTGGGAATATGTGAGCTGGAGCTGCTTTTGCTCAGCATGGATCGTCCTTCCCCCAGCAGAGCTCGCAGCAAACCTCGAGAGCAAAGAGAAGAGAAACCACACAAACCCTTTCCACCCTCAACGCTGCTTTACTAGCAACTTCTTTGACCCTTTCAGAATCCTTGAGGCTGACAGGGCCAAGTGAGTTGTTTCCTCACTGCTGAATTCCTCTGGTTTCATCCTGCCCAGGGTGGCCGTGGGCACAAGTGGCTGATGCTCTGCTCCCAGTCCTGAGCCTTCCAGCTCAGCTCCTGGAGCCTCTTGCAGGATTTATGCCTGGAATTCAGTCCTGAGAGTGGGATTTGCAAAAATAACCGAGTAACTTGGGATAACAGCCTGTGCTCCTGGCTCAGTGACCACTGAAGTAAAATCCCCTCACAGGAGCCTGGGACCTCCGGCCATGGGACAGGGCCCAGTAGCACTTGGATGCACAGTTCAAGTCATTTTATCATGGAATCATTCAGTCATGGAATCCTGGAATGGTTTGGGTGGGAAGGGACCTTAAAGTTCATCTCATTCCACCCCCTGCCATGGGCAAGGACACCTTCCACTATCCCAGGCTGCTCCAAGCCCTGTCCAGCCTGGCCTCGAACACTCCCAGGGATGGGGCAGCAACAGCTTCTCTGGGCATCAGAGATCAAACTTCCACATTTTTAAGGCATCCAATAATGTAAAACAAAAGCTTTGACACTGTTTGGCCAAGTTTGCTTTTGGGTGAAGCTCAGACACGGTTTGAAGCCAAGAACAAGGTTTTCAAATGAACTTCAAACCTCATTTTGCAGGATTTCCATCCGTGATTGGAGCACGTGGGTCACATCCCCAGTGGGCACCTCCACTTGCTTTTGCTTTGCCAAAGCAGCATCAGTGACATTCCTTTTTGTGATGCATCATCAAAATTTAAGGGTTTGCCTGGAGCTTCTTCAGCCCATGCAGAGTGCACAGATCTTCAGATGCTTGGGATGCTGGAAATGTGCAGATTTTACCCCCAGATTTTATTTGTCTCACACAGTAAATTCCACTCCTAGGAATGGCATTAAATGTCAGGTTATTTCACCCTGAAAAATTAGTTCATCCAGCGGATGCACCTCAAACCTCATCCTCCTACCAACCTTCCCAGCCCCAATATCTTCCCTTCACCCCACTTCAGTCTCAAACACTGTGTTTCAGCCATTTTATTGAAGTTTGTGTATGAAATAACAGTTTCAAGTTCTAATGAGAAAAAAAACACCATTAAAAAAATAAATTCAACATCAGGTAAAAAAATCCACATGACCAAAAAAAAAAAAATCACTTTTTTTTACTGGTAACTGAACACAAGGTCCACACCACGGTGGAGTCACCAGGACAACGGGAGGCAGCAGCTTGGTTTAGCATCAGACTGGTATCAAAAAAACCCAAGTTTTAAACTATTGGAACACAGCTCACTGGCAAAACCAGAGTTTAAAATTAACTCAGAGTAACAAGACTGCGTTTAACACCTCCAGTCCCAAATTGCATTGTTCCTGTGGCACCAGATGAGTCAGGATTTAGTGAAGAGTTTCGTTTTTCAGTCCCATACACTGAATTTCACAATATTTCACTGTTAATACACCCAGTGTATGTCCAGTTGAGACAGGCATGGAAAGCATCTCAGCATTACCCAGTTGCACATGTGAAGGAGGGAAAGCAAAGTCAAAATTATATCCAGCCATCTCCATTCCATGAAAACAGGATGGGAAATTAAGAAACACGAGCTGCTGCTGTGCTGGAGGTCAATGCGACCTTTTGCCATGTTTTGGGGTCTCAGGTGATGAATTAAGAGCCTGTTCTCTTGAAAAATTCTAAATTGCAACATGAGAAGACCTGACTCTCAGCAGAGAGGGGGATTTTCCTGCAAAACCTGAGCAATTTGGACAACGAAGTCCAATTCCAGCACATCAACAGCAGCCTAAGGAACGTGGCAGCAAACACATCATCTTGTATTAAAACCATATTGTATCTCAGGCCCTTCCTGACTCCATTTCCCCTTAATACCACTTGACTCACAATTCCAGCTCTATCAATGACTTGAGCATTGCCAGGTAAATTGTCCTGCTCCAAAATCATCCTCTGGAACAGGAGGGACTTAAATGGACTTAAAACCAGCATCAGTGCCCGGCCTTGCAATGGTCAGAGCTGATGTGTTATGGACAACACCAGGCAGGGTCAGAGGTATCTCAGGCCATTCCCTTTAAAACCTGATGATGTAATCTTGGAGAAAGCAGAAAAAATGGGAAAAAGAAGCATAATATACCTGTATCAGAGGCTGGTGGATGAAAATACTGGGATTAGAAATGTGTAATTTAATTCAACCAGGGCTGCTACAGGACTTTAACCTCACGTTGAGGGATGACTCTGTGCCTTCCAGCTGACTCTGAGCAATGAAAAGAAAAGCAGGAGAGTGAGGAGCACTGTATCTCAGAAATCCCTTAATTTTAAAAGGATTCAGTAGCAATGACAGCATTTGAACACCTGTCTCAGAAAACACCCAAGTGTGTGTGGGAATGAAACTTCCAACGTGGTCTAGGGCTGTTTTCTGAGATGTCAGTCCTGGGGTGGGGGGGGGTTGCAGCACCTGTGGAAAGAGGCTGGAGTCTGGGATGGGACTGCAGGAACCACAGAATCATAACTTAATAGAATCCCAGACTAGTTTTGTGTTGGAAGGGGCCTTAAATCCCACCTTGTTCTACCCTCTGCCATGGGCAGGGACATTTTCCATTAGACCAGGTTGCTTCAAGATCCATCCAGTTTGGCCTTGAACACTTCCAGGGATGTGGCAGCCACAGCTTCTCGGTGCAACCTGTGCCAGGGCCTCACCAAATCCTGACTTTTCCCCCCAGATCCATCAGGGCAAAGCAGCCTCACAATTATTTCCTCGTTGCCTCTGACAGCCTGTTCCAGCCACTCCTCTAAGCCCCATCCCTGTGCTATGGCCCCAGAGCCTTCCTTAGTGCCCTTAAACACTCAGATCTTTCCCTTTCTAATTTTGCTGCCTTCTTAAAACAGCTTAAAACAAGGCATTAAAAACAAGCTGCTTTTCATGACCCTACACCAGCCCCGCTCCCCAGATCAGCTTTTCCTGCCTCTCCAGCAGGATGGAGCCAACAGCAGAGCTCTAAAATTAAATGGGGAAAGGGTTGGTGCTCAGCCTTTCGCTGTGTTGGGCACAGAGGAGAAATATCTGCCTGTTCAGAGTCTAAAGAGCACGTCCAAGGCACGACAGCTCCGAGATGCTCTCACAGCGTCTGGGAGCAGGGCTTTGAAGGACTATGAATAAAGATGAGCTGCCTGCCTTCGGATGATTATGGGAATCAAAGCACGCTATTTTTTGGATCTTCTCTTGATGTCAGCCATCATTAAATCGCTCCTTTTTTTGTTTTTTTTAATCGGCTGGATACATTTTTAATTTGCCTTCCCCTGCCAAATCCAGCCCTCCGCTCCCAGCGACGTTTCCACGCGGCTGCCCTGCTACGATGGTTATCTTTGGGATGCACGAGGCTGGAGTCAGAGTGGTGGCAACACACATTAATACACTGGACTGACAGTTAAAGGCTATCAAACTCTCAGTAATTGTGAAAAAAGCACATCAACAACCAGCTGGCTCAAGCAAAAGGAACCCGATGGGATGGAGCGACGTCAACACCCGTATGTACAACACGGAGAAAAGGTTGGAATTTGGCAAGATTGTCACTGGTGTAAGATGTCTGTGAGGTGGTTGGGACGCACCAACCCAACTGTGTGAAGGGATCTGGTTTTTCCCACACCTTCAATCATCAAAATACGTTTTTGAGCCATAACAGAGACACTTAAACAAGTGGCTGTTGAAAACAGACGAGGTATAATCATGTTACAGACACACACACCCCCCCATAAAAAAGCTCAAAAATAAAAATAACTTTAGTACCGATACATTCTATCCCCCATTTTAAGGGCTACTAGATCATGTTCCAAAAGAAACTAAATATAACACCTTTGGGACCAGGGCTTCCCAAGATCCAGGTCTGTGTTGCAATCCAGAAAATCAATCTCCCCCTGTTAATATGTCATTATCTCCGTGGGCAAAGCCCCCTCTATGGGGGCTTTGGCTGTTTGCAGCCCAAACCCATCAGCGTGGTAGAAAAGTGGGTTTTGGACCAGTCTCTCATGATTTCAGAGTTGCAGAAGCTTTTGTTCAGTCTCCTTTGCAGGTCAAGATCTCACTACAAACCCATCACGCTGCAGGGAGGCTGCAGACAAATATGTTTTGCAGCTCCTTAGGAGTTTTGGAGGTGACATGTCCCAGAAACGCCCAGCTCCCACCTGCCCCAGCTGCCAGCAGCTCCCTCTGTGGCAACTGGGGAGGGAGATCTGTGGTTATTTGGGATTCCCAGTGATGGAAACAGGCTCAGCCCTCACCCTCCAAACATTGGGCACTTTTCCTGGTCTTTCTTTAAGGGGTTTTTTTAGGTCTCAGAGTTTTTATGGTCTGAGCATTAATTAATTTTGGTGCTGGAGGGATGCAGGAAGCTGGGTGGACAGTTTTTCTCTGCAGTGACAGGGAGGGATGCTTGGGAGGGAGGTTTGGAAAGCTTTGCAATCCACTCGCAGGCCCTTCCAGATCCACGGGGAATTGCCAGCATGGAAATTTGCTGGAGGATCCCATGGAGAAGCTCCCTCTCCCCATCACCCCTCAGGGCAGGGCAGGGCAGGGCCAAACTGGAGTTAATGAGAGCCACTGCTCTAATCAGCTCTGATTTGTGCAGGCAGATTCATTTCCCACCGGGGGTTGTTTCACCTCTGGGATTCTCTGGCATCCCCGTGGAACCTTGGCACCCCCAGCTCATCTCCCTGGGCTCAAGGACCTGCTCCATGGGCTCTTACAGCATTCCTGCTCTCCAGCCCAGCTCAAGGACCCGCTCCATGGGCCCTTCCAGTATTTCTGTTCCCCAGCCCAGCTCAGGGACCTGCTCCATGGGCTCCTACAGCGTTCCTGCTCCCCAACCCACCCACAATAAATCCCAGTGCCAGCAGCACCAGCCCTCTCTCATTCATTCAGCCCCAGGGCCACCAGGTTTGTACCATGCTGGGAAGAGCAAGAGGAGCAATGTCCCACTGAGAGCCAGATCTATATCTGCTCTTCATTCCCCAACTCATTACATTGACTAAAACTGCTGGGTTTATCACTTTTTCTTTCTTTTCTTGCCATTTCAGCCCATTCTGCTCACCCTGTAGCCCCCAGAGGCTCCTGGTTTTGGGCCCCCCAGCCCTTCTCCCACGAACAAGGTCTCCACCACCAACGATGCCATGACAGGAGCAGGAGTTCAAGCCAAGGAATTATCTGTGATTAGAAAAACAAACAAAATAAATGCAGCTTCGCCAAAGTTGATGCATTCCTTTTAAGAACTACATCATTTCTCAACCTTAGGAGAATTTCTCAACCTGAATTTCAACTGGAGTTTGCATGTGGGGCTCAGCCAGCCAAAAAGGAAGGTGACTTCTTCTGCAAGTCCAGAGCAATCCCAGCCTGAACCTGCTTGGATCCTGTTTGTCTTCAAAGCTCTTCTGCAAGGAGAGGAGACACGTGAGGAAGACAGTAGGTTTGCTTTGCCATGAATATTCCAAAGGTTTCCCATTTCAGAGCCTTTCTTCCAGTTAGGGTGTTTGTTTTTAAGTGCATCCCCACTCAGGTTGTGCCTCAAAGCATGTCACAGGTGCCTCCTGTTCCTCATCCCCTGCCTGGAATTTGGTGTGAAATGCAGGTAAATAGCTCTGCTGGGGGCAGGATTCAGGTTTTGGTGCTGCCTCCAGGCAGAGTGGTGCTTGTTGAACCTTCCAGGTACCTGGTAGAAACCTCACGGCTTGTCCTTGGACACATCAGCCTGAACTCAAGAGTCTGCTCCACAGACATAATTCTGTCTCCTGTTACCTCCCCTTGAGCATTCCCTTCTTCAGAGGAAGCTCCAACTCCCTTGGTTCCATCCAGTCCAAACTAACATTTCCCAAACCATTTCCAGGGAATTACAGCACTGCAGACACAGAGGTTCCTGTGCTCATCTGAGTCCCACCAACATTATTTTCACCCTTAAATCCAACACTCTTCCAAGTATTTCCTTGCTCCTCTGACTGAGTATGTGCTGGGCAGATTTGAGTCTCCAAGATGGAAGAGGCAGCATCAGGAGGTGGGATAAAGCTGGAGAGGGAGTGGGGGGGAGCCAGAAGCAGGAGGGACATCAACTGTTTCCATTTATCCCTTTGCAGATGATTTATCCCTTTGCAGACCACTTATCCTGCTGCACCAGGATAACATTGATCCGTGCAGTTCTAAGAAATGCAGTGAGGTCAGAGAAACCCCAGGTTTAACAGCTTCCCTGCCCAGCACGGGCAACCCACAGCTCTAAACCTGCCACCCAAAACCTCAGTGTGCAAAACGAAACAGCAATGGGCAAAGGAGGAATGGACTTCCCAAGTGAGGGAATACTATAATATTCCCTGTGGAAGAGCAGAAAAGGGCACCCAGGCTCTCATGAAACAAAGCATGAGCATGATCAGCCAGGATTCATGTTTTTATACCTTTTCCACCTCTGGAAATTTGATTTTTCCTTAGTTTTTCATGGAGTGATCCTGAAAGCAAGGCACAACTTGTTGACTGTTCAACATAATTTTCCTCAGCATTGCTGGAGACATTACTTTCTTAAGAAGGACTTGAAGTAAATCACAGCCTTTGGTACAGCACAGAACTACTTATAAAGGGCATTTACAGGAAAGGGAGAAAAATGGAACAGAAATTATTCAGAAAGAGCTGAGAGCAGCCCGTGGCCTTCAGCAGGGAACAGTGAGAGCAACTGGATTCCCTCTCTCCCTCCCACTCCGAGCAAAACACTTCGACTGAGCTTTAGCAGCTCTGCTTAATGTTTCCTTTCTGTTTGCTTAAACTTTCAAGAGATTTTTTTTAAAAAATAATAATAAAACCAGACTGAAATAATGTCCAAATTTCCACCTCCCCTCCTCCTTTTTCCCTGGTTTTGCTCAGTCTGGTTATATTGCACATGAGTTGGAGACAATCTTCTGGCTGCAGAGACGTTTCCTTCCACATGAAGCACTTGTTAGAAAACACGGATAAGATGGCAAATATTCCATAGGTATTCATGTATTTATGGAATATGAACTGGGTTTAACTGGGGAGGACAGTCTGGTCCACAGCAGCGTTGGTCACCATGTCCAGGATGTTTGACTTTTCCTTGGAGCTGTTTTATTTCTCAACACAGTCCTGGAGGTCGTAATTTTGAAATGTCTTCTGTTATCTGTTGGGCAGAGCAAAAAAAAACACTTTTATGCTTTGGAAAACGAGAAACAGGTTATTTTTTTTCAAAGAAAAGTGGAAGGGATGTCGCACGTTGGCCCCCTCGGGCAAATTCACGTCTCCATTTCTCACGAATGAAAAGCGAAAACTTGCTAATTAAAATCCTTTAATGGACTAAATACCACACAGTCTAAAGTGAGCTAAAGATAGAAAAGAAGATTCACTAAATAGATCCTGGTTATTAACTATTATCTCACTAATGGAAAGTTCCAAATCCAGAATAATTAGCACAAAGTGGGTTTTCCTCATCATGTTTTTGTCTTAGTCAAGCTGGGTTTGTTCCAACTCGATCACACAATATTGTGCAACTGGTTGATCTTATAAATCCAATACTGGGGCTGATCTCACTCCCAGTGCTTGGACTGTGGAGTTGCTCCCACAGAGCTCAAACTCAACACCCCATTTTGAGGCAGGAATGGAGCAAAGGGCCAGAAAATTGTCCCAGTCTCTGCAGTGCTGGAGCGATGAGCTCTTGGACCCCCCTGGAATTGCAGCAGTAACTCAACAGCACCAAGGGACTCGTCCTGACTCCTATTTTAATATAGGGAGATGCTCTTCTCTGTCTTTAAGACACAGAAATTCCTACAAATTTCATGCAACTGTTTATATCCCTCTCATTTTTCAGAAAATCCATGTTCTGCCTTCGGAGCAATCGAGGCATCCCCTCCCCCCATCAGGTGGGAATGAAGCTGGGTGCTTCATTCCCAGCCAGTGATGAGGAAAGGGTTGGAAGGAGCTGCAGTCCCAGCTCAGAGCCCAGCCTAAGGCACTGGGACCTGCCTGGTCCCGGCTCAGTCCCCAAATAGCCTGTTTTCCACAAAGGGAGAGGGAGGATGGAGATATGGGATCCATGTGCTGAGGAGGGAGACATCCACTCTGGATGCTGCAGGGATGATGATACAGGGGTGGTGGTGTGGCAAGGATGATGGGGATGCAGGGATGCAGCTGAAGGGATGATGACATGGCAGGGATTATGAGGATGTAGGGATGAGGTACAGGGATGGTGAAGTTGCAGGAATGATGAGGATGCAGGGATGATGCTGCAGGGATGAGGATGTTGCAGCTATGATGAAGTTTCAGGGATGAAGTTGTAGGGATAACGAAGATGCAGGGATGATGAGGATGCAGGGATGATGGTACAAGGATGAAGGGATGATAAGGATTCAGGGATGAAGTCGCAGGGATGATGCTGTTGCAGGGATAATGGGCATGCAGGGAGGATGTTCCAGGGATGATGCTGCAGGGATGGTGATATTGTGGGGATGATGATGCATTTGCAAGTATGATGAAGATACAGGGATGATGAGGACGCAGGGATGATAAGGATGCAGGGATGATGAGAATGCAGTTGCAGGGATGAAGTTGGAGGGAGGACGATGTTGCAGGGATGAGGATGCAGGGATGATGAGGATGCAGGGATGATGAAGATGCATTTGCAGGGATGAAGATCCAGTAGCAGGGATGAGGATCCAGTAGCAGGGATGATGGGGATGTAGGGATGGCGATGTTGCAGCGATGGTGATGTTGCAGGGATGAGGATACCACAGGGATGCTAAAAGCCAGCAGAGAAAGGAAAGAGGTAAGAATTCCCACAAGGAGCAAAATTCCCTTGTAAGGCAGTGCAGCACTCAGGGAAATGAGCTTCCAGAGGGGCTCAGTGCTCCTTACAAGGGGCTCAGACCAGCCAGTTGTTCAAATACCAGCTTATCTTGAAGTGTCAGAAGGGACTGGGGTTTATGCTTTATTAGACTGGGCTTGCTGGGGGGATTACACCCTCTCCCACCTGCCAGCAGGGAAGGGCTTCTGTCTTTTTAGCAAAGCAGTGATCAAACTGCTGGATCTTCAAGCAGCACTGGAGTGTTACACACCCATTAAATAAATACACAAATAAAACCCAAATAGCACCTTCAGCCTGGGAAGTGTCAGTGATTCGGCCAAGAAGGGGAAGCCGGAGTTGATGCTCTCCAGATTAAGTGGTAAATAACAATTTTATCCCCACCAGACAAATCATCCAGTGCTTTGGGGTACTCTGGTGCCTTTCCAAGTGTATCCCTGCTCTTGCAGAAAGAAATCCAAAATTCTCAGCCTAACAGTTATGTTATTTCACTGAATTTGGTAGGAACAGCAGTAGGGGTGAGAAGTCATGAGCATTGTGGAGATATCACTGCTCCAGCTCCTGAAGGCATCCAGATGTCTTTCCATCAGACAGGGGTGATGAAATCCTCTCTACTCCAAGAGAAACAGAGGATATTAAACAGCAGCCACAAAAATTAGATGTTTTTGAGTAATCTAAGCCAAATAACTTGTATCTGTGCATTTAGAGCTGCTGAACCAGCTCCTGAGAGCACAAGTACAGAGCAGGTCCTGAGTCCTCCCAGGGGACTGGAAAATAGCTCCTGTTTGGGCCAGGTTTTTAAGGGATAAACAAAGTGACCTGCAAAAACGATGGGTCAGGCCATCTGTCACTGATCCCAAACAATATGCTGGGATGGCTGAGTCTTAGCACAGAATTAAAGAGAAAGATATAATTGATGCCAATCAACACAGGGTTAGGGAAACCAGATCTCATCATATTAACTGATATCTCTTCTTACTGAGTCCCATGCCTGGCTGATAAAGGTGCTTGTGTAAAGCTGTCCTCTGAGAGAATCACATGGCAGTTTGGTTAAGAAAACAGAGCAATAAAGCCAAATTCCCAGGAGATATCACAAGTGAAACACCCAGCTGAACCCAGGCCACTCCTCCTCATTCATGCCATGTTTTCTTTGAGCATTTTGCAACGAGGATGGGAGAGACATTCCTGAAAGTTTCCAGCCCCAGGAGGAAACAGCCCAGGCTTGTTTCTGATGCTGCAGAAAGATTTCCTCCTTTAATTCAGAGGGATTTGGGGTGCAGAACATCCAGGAGCCAGCACCCACTGATGCACACGCAAAGGTAGGAAACCCCTCAAACCTGCAGTGCTACACCCAACTCACATTAAACTCCTTCCACATCGCCCCTGCAAACTCAAATTCAGAGCAGGCAAGTTCATTTTAAGCCCAAACTTCTGATGTCTCATTTCTGACCTGCTGCAACAACTTGAGGTTCAAATTGTTACAAAGCCATGGTGGCAGCTCCAAGCAGAGACCAGCAAGGAGGGAGAGGAGGGTTCTCAATTCTAAATGCACAGAGAATTCAGGAGAAATGGGCCATCAGGGTGGAAAAGGAGAGGCACAGGGAAGAAGCCAGACAGAGAGGGACCTGGGAGTTTGGATTGACAAGAAGCTGAACATGAGCCAGAGTGTGCCCAGGTGGC